GCTCAGAACGTTGATCATCCCACCAGCCGCTCGACCAGGACGGGAACCCAGTGAGTAGATTCCTAGACTTTTGGTAATCGGTTACCAAGTTGCAATTTGCAGACAGCCTTCAAAAGTACCACTGGGCCCTGGCCAGTGCCAGACCGTAAAGTCTCGCAGCTCCGACAGTCTTCTGGCAAGCACTGCGAAGCTGTGTCGTGCCCTTGCACAACACCCATAGCCTGCGCATCCCGAATCAGCGGCCCCCCGCTTTCCTGAAGATAAGTCATACACAGAGCCATAACATAGGTATGCAGGCTGTGCATATGGTACGTGGCCCGAGCTGACCATTATCATCGAATAAATAGCGGAGGTCTCCTGATATCTTTTCCTCTTAACTTCAATACTACAACTATGTCCGGGCCATACGTCTACACACAACCGACCTACGAGCCTCCTCCATATTATACCCACCCGTACACACCTCAGCGGTCACCTTTCATTCCTCCCTCCAACTTATTTCCGCCTTCCCCGTCTTCACCTTTTATCGAACTTCCTGGAACCCCGTACACTTCTTACTATCCTGACGGATACCGTCGCCGTCGCCCCCCGTCTTGGCATGGAGGGATGACTGCAGCGCCTCCCAGTCCATCATTTTTGGGAGTTCCATTGCCACCGACCCATAACCGGCGGCATTCATTCGGCCATGGCAATCGCGCTCCTTGGCCATACCAGACGTCGCCGCAGCACTTCCAGATTCACCCGCTTCTTAACGGAGAAGCTTATGTATCCGAGTTCTACTTCGACATTGCCAATCCAGCTTTCGCGCCATTGCGCAAAGTTGGTCCAAACCACACGGCTATGGTGTCTGTCGAAGAACTCAGGGAACCTGCTACGTTTCCAACCATTACCCGCATGCGTATCACGCATGATGCTATTCCCCAATGGCCTGTTGACTTGGAGCTCGTTCATGGCGAGTACGATATCTCAGGCGCTCTGCCCATAACGGTTGGCGATGTTTTGTGGATGATCCATTCTTCCCTGCACCGCCAAATTTCTCACTCTGACTGGGCCCAGCTAAGTCAGAGTGAAGAAACTGCAATTGCGCGGGCATATACCCGCAGATACAGGAGCATCCCTTCATCTGCTCAGCTCGAAGCAAGTCAAGGAGTCAAAAGGGTTGACTATTTGATGGAAAGACACGTCTTCAGGGGACTTGTCAGAGCTCCAGATGAAGATGGTTTCCACCATTGGAAGTTGTTGACGTGAATGTTGCCAGCCTTTGTAACGCCCTCTCTTTGTGCTAAATCTGTCCTAAACATCCTTTTGTCCTTTATTGTCTTGATTCGCCGCTATGATTTATGTTGTAACTATCTCACATATACCCTGACAATGACTCGAGGCCTACTTTTTAAAATTGCCACACATCTATGTTTGTCGGCTTGTGATCGAAACATTTGTACGCTTATTGATATTACAGTTTGACTGAAGCTTTGCTTCATCACACATTTGTAAGGGGAGATGAAGATGAAATGATTGCTGTGAACCTTGGAACGCCCTGTGCCTGACCGTAGACAAAGTTCAGACAAAGTATGATATGCGGGGTGTCACAGGCCCATATGAAATCCAACACGCTAATGCATAATCTAGCGAAGGCACAACACATGGGCGATTTTAATCGAGGCTCATATCATGATCACAGACCCCCTGTTCCTGTGTCTGCCAACTCTAATCCAAAATAACGCTGAGAGAATGAAACAAAGGGAAGTTACCGCGAGAAGATATTAACGTTCAATGTTGGGTGTAGTAAGCCTCCTGTTAATGTGACATATCTAGTGGGAGACAATATGGTTTCATATCGGGGCTATTCATCTACGTACTGTACTAGTGATATCAGGGTCATCACAACCTATCGACCAATGATCGATACCCGTTCCTTAGCGGTAACTGTCAGGTCCACCACGCGTCTCGCACAGCAATGCCATGCCTGTCAAAGTCACCGACGACATTAGAAATCCGTCCTCGACCTTTGTAAGACTGCAGTGCTGATTGTGGTGTCCTCCCGTCCCAGTATTTAAAAAAGACAAATCGTAAGTCATTCAAGTGACCAAATATCTCCTCGGAGATCATAGCGGTCATTTTATATGTTATATTTGGTGACAAAGAGATTCAAATATGTTATGACATGATGGAGAAAACGTTTGAATTCTTGTAGGGATAGGAGCACTCACGGAAGTTTGTAATTACCGCGCTCCTCGTTGAAGGGCGCGGAAGACTAGATGGAAAACTAGAGGAACGGGAAGCTACGGTTGTGATGGAGCACGTCTTCCAATTCTTCCAGCACTTTCCTTGACAGCTGCATCGCAGGCTGATACAAAGGGGTAAGAACTCGTCCAAGCCAGGCCAATAGCTGTGTCTACTTCAGAAGAGCTTTACGTCTGCGATGATTAAGAGCAATCGAATATGTCGACATTATCATACACGAGGACACGGGCATGCAAAGATATGGATTGTCTGTTCTAGAAGTAAATCGTTAAAAGCTAAAGTCCCTATTAGGCGAAGCAACATACCATGATGATCTTACACCTGGCACGTGAAAATCAACAGTAGTGATGTTGAAAATCGTGCTTCGCAGCATCAGCCCCTTGACTAAACCCATGCTCTGAAATATGTTAGGAATAGGGCCACTAAATCTGCGATTTCACAGATAGACTTATCGAGATAGCGGGTATGTCGTGTTGCCGGCCGAGAGGCGGCAAAACCCAGAAAGGGAAACCACCTTGAAAGTACACTCACCGAACTCCCAAATGTTGTTGCTGCGCCCGTTTTCACGAATATGGTCCTGCGCCTTCCTCTTCGCATGCAGCCCTTGAATCCCAGTTCTGAGACGGTAGGCTGGCCCGCGCGATCGAAGGTGAAGAAGTCATAAGCCACGACCCAGCCCTGATCGAAGCCAGCTTCAAAACGCCAATGCTCGTAATAACTAGGAAAACGGGCCCAGTAAGATACATGTTGGCCTTGAAAAAAAATCAGGGACATGTGGCGACCGTGGAGTCGCTGAACTCACCCAAGGCTACATTTCTAGCGGACACCTTTCTAGCGTTTATTTCGGCACTGAGTCCAACATAATCCTTTACTGGGATCATGCCCACGACTTCGGGAAAGACACCATTTTCAACTGCGTCTCGGAAAGACCATCCTTGGTCTCCAGAAAACTCTTTTTTGTATGTCCAAAAGAATGACCCAGCACAGTACAGCTCGAACAGGTCGAGCTGAGCCCGAATGTAAGATGTTCTTCCTGATGTTCATCCGCCGTACCTTGCAAAGAGCCTGGATTCAAAGCTCCAGACCACTCGCCAACTATGAGTCCACTTCCTGATGCTGCGAGCTTCTCTGAAACGCGGGATGAGAACATTTGCGGAAAGGAGCGTTCCGATCAGCAAGGGATGCAGTATGCTGCGCTGCTGACGTTGAGATATCGCTCCGTGTGAAACACCGGTACAGATGATGGTCGACGCAAGTCAGCGCAAGGAAGACGGTAAGTGTGCGACGAAATCGGCATATTGATCAGTCATCCACAGTCTGATATGTAGATTGGGAACCAGAGTCTATATTTCTTATCTCTTGGATTGCCTCCCTGTACCAATTGTAGAGTGTTTCGTGTGAAGAGGGGTGGGGTTCGTTGAGAAGCTGTACACCGACTATATTGTTGAATGTGGAATCATGTGCCCGCAAAGCGATAAGTTGTGTTACTAGCATGCGGAGAGCGCGAATGGCCAGCTGCATGTTAAATTTGCCGTTGAAAAACGATATTACCGGGGATGACGTTCCGGAGTGTGAATCTTTATTCTGTTTTCCAGGAGCTGCGTGAAGATCTGAAATTTGCGAGTGAGAAATGAATATGTCCCACTCCACAAACGACACACCAAATAGCACCCCAATTCCAAAGCTCTGGGCAGTGATCACCGCGGCAACAAGTCTACTCCATGCTCCCTCAAAAACATGTTGAAGACCATCGAAGTCAGTTCGAGTAAGGATAGATGGGTCCAGTGCACAGATATGATAGTATCGATCTGTTCAAGGCAGCATGAGATGATGCTGTTGTACTATTACAAGAAAGTGCGCACTGGGATCCGCACGGTGTTGATTCCCCTTGCCGCGAGCCATTCAAAATCGGTGGAGGTGATCCAAGAATCCCAATGTTGTTCTAGAACCTGCTTCGCATGTAGACCCTTGGCAACGTCCAGATCACTTTGTCCGCTGCCGGCGGCGCCTTGAAATGGCGACTCTGATACCCATCGCTCTAAAACGAACCACGATCCTGAGCCACACTTAGCTCGCTTTGACTCGGATAATGCATTCAGTTTGAGCTTACCAAGATTAACTCCGCGTTGTTTGCGATATCGGTAGAGGCGTTGCTGAGGGCTTTCTTGTAGTGCTTCTTGAAGACCAGGCCCCGATTCGGTCTTGCTGCCACGTCTCAACCTAGAGATAAAGCTCCACATGTTATGCGTCTGTAGGGCCTATCAGAATTCTGAATATCCGGGCCGCAAATTGTAGTATAACATATGTTGGTCAATGTGCAACTCGCAAAATGACTAAACATTAAACAGGCGTGTTTGGCAAAGGCTTCTGATCCAAACAGTGACAAGTTTCATAAGATCTTGATCATTCAATTAACATTGCACCATATGGTATAACCAGCAATTTTCGTAATACATTGCTGCGTCACGCTTTCAAGTTTGTGTGCATATATTCTGCGCATATACTTCCATGAACTGCTTCATATTGTCATGTTACTGCCAGAGGCATGCTTGATTAGCATGCTCATTTTGTCACTCTGTTATTTCTCTTCAACCACCGATCTCGGACCCTGTGCTCAACCTGTGGGATATTCCAAGTAGACTCGTCAGGACTCAACTTTAACCTTGTTTCTGTTAGCTCCTCTTGTTCTCCTGTCCCCTGATGCCCGCGCATACATTTGGTTCCTGCGCAAAGAAAGTATACTTCTCCAGTTCATGCAACCTGCCCCGCCACCTAGAGGGTGCGGCTTTCACTCTCAAGGAAACTCAGTACTCAAGTTTGAAGGGAACATCGTGGTGTAATCACAGATCGTCCAACCGGAAATAGTTCATTTCGCTAACAACGTTGGTGACTTAATTTCTCCTTAGCGATGAGGTCCCTCTTTTCTTTCTCCTTACTCTTTTTCTTAAGCGCCACAAGGTCTAGACCCGATTCCCGGTTGGCGATTCAACCGAACAGTACTTCGGGTGTCCTTTGCCGCGACTGTAGTTCATGGCGGGTTTGGTAAGACTTCTTGCGCGCCGCTTGTCCCTATTTAGGGTGACCATGCGCCATGAAGCGTGCTGCCTTTGCTATCTTTCGGCGGAGCGAGCAACTCTGGCACAAACCGATATCACAAAGTACCACATCAGACATGTCGAATTTTGGTGAGTACGAGTCTCTTCGGCCGTAAATGCCTTTTCCAGTCTCATGCCTCGTATGAAAATTGTCAGCCTCACTAGGCTAATGTACTATCTACAGCGATAAAGGTGTACCGCCGCGCCTTTGCCATAAAAGGAAAACACGCGTTTTACATGTGTCCTGCACCTGTAATGACGGATTGGCATCAAACCTCATGGTTCCAATTTGCAATCGAGATAGTATAACACATTCAACCGCGTCGCCACTAGGTTTGTTCCTACTCGTTCCGAACTTTACTCAAACTTCTCACAGGAAGACCCTCTTTCCTCTCCAAGCCATGTTATATTGTCAATTCCCTCTAATGGTCATGCTTCATTACTCACGGACTTTCCGGACAGACGTGATCATTGATCCACCGCCATTCACTGGCAGTGCGCTTTTGGACAACAGATCTTTTATTGCAATCTCCCCTCTCGGCATTAAATTCCATGTTTGTCATCCAATACCACGTCCACGGCTTTTCTAGGGGTCCTCTTACTTCATGTAAGTATTTTCGCCAGGATATGTCTAGAACTCACAGGCGATCCGATCCAGGCATAACGGCTAACCTGTGCGCTTATAAGAGTCCGACCGAACACTTCTCATGCCGACTTCATCCCTCCTCTTGGTTCAGTACCTCGAGCAACGACATTTCCCTATCACCTCTCATTCTCACTTCACGAACAAAAAGTCATAATGACCTCCTACTTCCGCTCCATTTTTGGTGGAAGCCAATCTCCCAGTCACGACAAGCCCTCACGTTCACGTTCTAACCCTGCAAGCTTCTTCTATGGGCCGCCAGCTGGTTCAAGTTCCTCTTCGCGCCTAAAGACAAAACGAAGCAATAGCTTCGGTGCTACAGCAGCTCCATCTCCACTGCGATATACCACATTTGACGGTGCCAGAGACATGAGGTACGGCACTCCGTCGAAAGCTGAGAAGGTGCCACTCTACAGGCGCGCCAGCTACAGGTCATCAGAACATCGTACGTCTTCTGTCTTCCGCGGTCAACGAGCGCATTTGAAATTGACATCCACGTCCAGTCGGGCATTATCCTTTGTATAATTATGCGCCTCCCTGTATCTTATGGTACATCTTCCCGCACCAGTTCCAGTTCTTCTTCGGGTCTTCCGAGCATGCATCCAGGCACACCATCTATGGCTCACGTTCTTCAATACGATAGACGGCCTTCTCTGCAACAACGTCATACTTGGCAGAGTAGTATCTCATCTGCGAATGGATCGGCCCAGTCATGTAAGTCTCTTAAAATAGGTGTGAGATTGGCTATCTAACGGCGCACAGATATTGGAATGGATCCTCACGGGAGACGCGCACCTGCACTACACATGCATCCACTCTTTGCCTCTACTCGACTTCACTCCGCGCCCATAAATTACGACGTCACGTTTGCTCCTTCACCACGAACAGTTCTAGACCGAACCACACATTCACCTGTCGATGCCCATACGTTATCTCAACCAGCGACTGACCCGCCGACTCCCGCATCATCCCGTATCTTACTCCGCTCAGATAAGTTCCCGTGGCCCGTGGTCGTCGGGTCTTCCAGAAATGGGCGCTCCCCAGATATCACGAATCTTGACCTTCTTCACTCATTGTATGAGACGCTTCTCACGAGAGTCACGCCTCAGGAGTGGGAGGCTCTTGGTACTGGAAGCAGGGCACAGCGGAAAGTTACGCAGGCGTATGAACAAAGGTGTACCAGGTTGGGAGGTGGATGGGAAGGCGGAGTCCGACGAGTGGATTGGCTGCATGGGAAGACTCGTTTGATCGGAATTGAAGTGGAAAAGCATGGACCCGGCGCCGGCTCCGGAAGACTCGTGTTTGGCAGGGCTTGAAGCCGGGATTTTCAACTTTTACGATCGACAGCAACCGAGGCTGGTTCTGGTTTCCTTCTTGATATCCCCATATACCTGAGAAACCTTTTCGCGGCGTATGCATAGACGCTGTCACATCTCCGTGGACCTCACGATTATATAGCATACTTAGGCATCAGGCATATGTATGAATTTATTACACGACCTCTTTATGATTTTGTATTCTGGCTGTAACGGCTTGGGCATAGCGATACATTGCGAATGGAATTACAAATGTTGGTAGAAGTATCAGTTGGGCTACAAATGTGTGAATGAAATAGTCGAAAATAGATTAATGACGCTGCCGTGTTAGGAGCAGCTCACTCCATCAAAGTCATATGTGCCAGGAACAGCAACAGGACACCCGGCTTTGTCATTATGTGAATTGCAGTTGACCTGATCGTTCGCGGATGCACAACAGCGAAGGCAGAAACGATTGGCAGAGGGCTCAACCCTGGTGAACAGTCAACGAGCCAATTAGAAACGATAGAAAACGGAACATACTGCTCAATGAAGCTTGCGCCGTATCCTCCAAAGGCGCACTTCGCACCATTGGGAAATCGAACATCCATCTGACCTCCTGCATCATCTTGAGCAAAGTGGAACTTGCCGGAGTCCAAGCAGCCGGTAATCTAGCGCTCATCAGTACCGAGGAAAAGGTTGCAGACAGCTAAATATAACTCCACTGACCTGTATATAGGACCCATCGCTCGCCTCCGAGATAATAGCACCAGTTATGAAGTTTGCTGGAAATGTGTTCTGGCAATTAGATCCATTGGTACAATACACCGTCGCGTCACTTTCAGCATTCGATATAAATTCTAAGGGAGGACAGCGTGGTCAAGTGCGCAACGAAAATACAAAGGAGAGACGCACCTCCATCCTTTGCAGGAAGTAAAAGTGCAAAATCAGTCACACTGGTTATATGCACGGTGGTCGAGACAGACGAAGGACCTGTAGGCTGGGGCGTCGGCGCAGCGTTTACTCGAGAAAGTCGGGCTGGGGTACCAGACTTGGATGCCAAGCGAGATCGTTTTCGGAGGCGGGCGTCCTGTTTCGCGCCTGTTTTGCGAGAGCGATGAGGTTTCTTGTTCTGTAGGCTTGTTCTCGTCGCGAGCGTCTCGTTGTGCCGTTGATCTGCAGGTATCGTATTGGCCTTGAGATCTTGGTATCTGTTCGCAGGCCGCCAGGCGACTGCCAGTATGACGTGTGCGAGTATAATGAAAAGATTGAATGATAAAAACATGTTTAACTTTTTAGTGATTGGCGGGCGAGGTAGTGATGTATGGTTGTGAAGGTGGAAGTTGGTTGAAACGTCGAAAATGGTGGCGTGAACGCGCCGACACGAGTATAAGCCATGTCACGTGAAGTGATTTTTTTCACAATCTTCACTATGTAGTAACTGTGAGTAGTCGGAATCCCTTCTTGATCTCGATGCCAACATGGGTGTCCTGGGGGAAGACAGGGGTTGGACTCCATCAGAAATGAAGTCGTTAATTTGTCGGTTCGGAACTTCGAGTAGTACGGATGTAACCTTATGTTGAGCACCTGATACAATGCAGCATACGCTAGTAGCATCAATTAATTTGAAGTTGCTACTATTGGGCTGGTTTCAACAGAAAACCAGAAGGAAGGTATCATCATCAGACCACATGTATGGGATGACCTCACAAAAAGTGCGCGGTTTCCACTTGTTCTTTAATTCGAAGGTCATTGCTATAGTATTTGTTCGCCTCCTTAATGTACTGACAGGAGGGGAACGTGCCATCGAAATGATCAGGTTAAGTTCGTGCGGCGCCCTTACTGAATGATGACGCACTCACCTGTCGATGGTAACGGACAAACTCTAGCGAATCAAGATTTTTCCATTCCACTCAAACCACCCGATAACAGATCAAAGTCGAATATCGAGTATGAATACACTGGATTGCTGTGGAGATTGTGTACATGGTAAATAAAATTACAATTGTCCTGGTATATGAGTGCATTTTATCCAAACTATTCCGGTACATGAATCAAAAAAAAACATTGCGGACAGAGATAGAGCAAGATAGCGATAAAACAAATTAGGGGCTGTCGAATATAGATGCGAAGAAGAGAGCGGTGACGGCAGATTACCAAGTAAAGTTAGAGCCGGCAGTGTTAAGTGATGAGATCCGACTAAAGTCCATCGGAACTGGGCTGGATATACTCAGATGCAATGTGCCGAAAGATAAGGAACAGCCAAGGCGACCCGCGCATGGCGAGGATCAAACGTTCTGGGCGAAGTGAATTTCCCAGCTGTCTGATCCATCTCGAGCTCTAGCAAGGCCGGAGAAGAAAACTTTAGGGCCCAAAAAGTCAACGCGTTTCACGCCCTGCGCATGTTCCTGCGGGTCAGCGCGTGACCTGGCCCTGAAAGAATCAACAGCAGCATTGGCCACACGGGAAGATCTTTGCATCTCGTGCGAAGCAACACTCCGGTTGAGCATTTCACGTATCATGGCAAGAACATCGTTCACAGTGACACCCCGAGGGTTCACAACCTCTATCGTCCAAGCGGGAAGCTCAGGAATAGTAATGATCATGTGAGAGACTGGCGGTTGTACCGCAAGCTCCTGAAGCATGGTAGGCGGACAGCCTGGTCGCAGCTGCACATGTGCTAGGTCTCGTGTGATGTTAAATCTCAAATTAGGGCCATGACTCAAGAGTGAGTGCAAGACTATGAATGAAGAGTGGGACGTGGAAGAATGTTGGTCTAACGACAATGGATGTGAGATCTGCGTAAATTATGAACGAAAAGAAGAATTGCATACACGACATAGGAAATTGGTGTGAGGCCGCATTGGGGTGTGGAAGTGATACTGAATGGAGAAGCGGCGCATTTGGGATCGGGGATGGAGACGACGCTGGGAGCGCAGACCAATGGCCTTGGAAGGCTTGACTAGTGGAGCCAGATTGTGCACTGTGCACAGCCCAAGACCTGTGATGAGATGAAGAGGCAGGGAAGCCAATCCGGTAGTTCATCGTGTTAGATTGGAGTCAGGGAGATTGGACAAGTCAGAAAAAATATAGGGGGGCGTTATTAGACCTGGAGATGCGCAGTACGCTGGGTGACTCGACTGTCATGCTGCGTGTCTTTTATATAGCACGCCGAGGAACATCGGGAAGTTACTTGTAGACTTCTCGCGCCCATCGTTGGTCGGGAGCTAATTGGGGATTGCTGCGCACGAGTGACATGGGCGGGACAGCGAACATCGTTGGATATGGTGAGATCAAACAAGAACTTCAGAATAAACGCGGAATCTTTGGCGGGAATTCTAATTATGGCCATGGGGCGGGATTCTGGCGGAACCGCTGACCCATAAAAGGCAGGCGTCGGGGGATGCGCGCTGATGGCGGTCTCACGGGACACGTTGAGAAGACACCTTGGCGGATGTTGAGCGGTGATAACTGTTATCGATCGCATCTATTCACCCACTGATCATCGATAACCCTAGACTCATCAGCAAAACCCTGATTTGGGTACAGCGCCACAGCCACACAGCGTGTCACAGGTCACATAGATTTTGTTGTAAAGGCTCTGCAGCACCACACAAGTATTGATTCTATGTAAAAATGAGTGTAATGTAGTCATAAACATGTATATAACAAGATGGTGTGCTAATAATTATGTTTTATTGAGAAATTGTGTAGTGTGCAGCACTGTACAGCGCTGTACATGG